TAGGGTGTGGTTTCAGGTCTGAAGTCGCGACTCGCGACCAGGGGTCGCGACTCATGACTCTCCAAACCGCGAGAATCTGGGCGACTGGGAGCATGATGTCGCGACTCGCGAAATTAACAGAGACGAATGTGCAGCTTCAGGTAGAGATGTTAAATGGTCTTTGGCCCGACGGGCCGGCCCGTTTAGCACGGAAAAAAACAGGATTAGGGCCTTTTATTGGCAGTCCGTTTAAATCAGGGCTTTTTATGCCCGAACCGTTTAGCCCGAAGCCCGCTAGGATTAGCCCGAAAATTACTAGGGCTAGCCCGTTTAACTTGGGTTGGGTGGTGTATATGTTTTTAGAAAGTAAGGAATATGTCTCATGATTCTTTGTATATTACAATTTTGCTATTCTACTTTACATGTAATTATGAGTTATTATGTATTATTATTATTTCGATAGATAATTATTAAAAAGATTTATTCTATTTCACAGCAAAATATTTAAGCCAATCAGAACAACTAATGAAAAACAAATTAGACAAAGACCTAACACATAGAATATAGTGATAGAATATAAATTCAGCAGTATGCTATATTGTGAAAATTTCATAAGCATACCCAATAACGAGTCAAATGGTAGTTATAAGTAATAGTTCGAACAATTTTTTTCAATTGAGAAACAATACGTTATTTAAGAGTTTGTAATGCATGTTCATATATGAAGTGTAGTTGTATATATATAGTGGTAAATACTAAATAGCCGCTGAAAAAAACCGTTAACTAGGTGTTGTAATTTTATTTTATTTATTTTTTTATTATTATTATTATAGCTCGAAGCCCGCTAGGATTAGGGTTAGGTCCTTTTATTGGTAGCCCGTTTAACATCTCTAGCTTCAGGTGTGCAGTCGCGACTTATAACGTCGCGACTCTCCAAATCGCGAGAATCTGGGCGCCTGGGAGCAGGATGTCGCGACTCGCGACTCGCGAAAATAACAGAGACATATGTGCACCTTCAGGTATGAAGTCGCGACAATATACCTTTCTCGGCCTTTTGGCTAAGATTAAGTGTGGATAAAATTGTTATAATTAAAGTTGATTTTATATAAAAATAATAAAATATTAATTGATAAGATTGACAGTTAGAAATATTTTGAGTGAATGAAAATTATAATTTTATGTTGAAAAATGTATAACAACGGTTACTTTTTTATTTTAATTGTGTTATTGGGATTTATTTTTAAATCATGTTCGTTGTGTACATAATTAGAAAAATCTTAATCTAATCATCTCAATGCTTTCACTCATTAAACAAGATGAAAATTAGGTAACATAGTGTCACAATTTGACAAGTTGACAACTATTTGGTACAACTTGTTGGTCATGCGGTTTTCCAATTTCAGGTTCTTTGACTAATCAATTCAAAAATCAACACATCACATAAATATAAATAGAATTCTAGATAAATAGTGAAATTGAGGCACTATCTGAGTTTCAAGTTATCTGGTGCTGATATCAACTAAATACACATATATATATATTTGGATAAATTAATAGATAAATGATGCAAAATATTTCATCTTTTCTTTAATGAAAAGTTTCGAGTTGTCTGGGGTGATCCCACATTAGCACAGTTGATAAAATAATAAGAGAATTATACCTTTAGCACTATATAGTATTTTATTATATCCAAAGTTATACCAAAAGGAGTTCTGTAATTATTCAAAGCGAAACAAATGAGGACCTAACTGAGTTTGACCCAAGTAATATATTGTAGCTATATTATACCACAACAGAGTTGATATATATCATATTCACTAAGGGAAAATTTAATCTAGCTACATGAGAAACTAAAACTAGTCAATTGAGATGAATAGGCGCCAGTGATACGAGCACAACATTTATGTATGATATTAAATTGAAGAGGTATTGATACAAGTTGCTAAAATTTTGACTTTTTGATATTGTAAATCAGATTTAAAAAAGACTTTCCGATGTTAAAACTTCAAAATTAAAAGCTGTAAATGCAATTATTTAATTAGGGTAAACAAAAATTTGATTCATTAGTATAGTACTTAAGTTTGGAAAAAAGAAAAAGAAGATAAAGTTTCAAATATTTCTTAAATATTACATCATTATATATATTTATAATGATCACATTAATTCATCACTTTACAACTTACCCTTCCTATATTATAATAATTATTCTAATTCATGTTATATAATGAAGTTGATAAATAATTTTATTCAATTAATAAATTAGTTTACTAGTTTAAAATTAACATTGATAAATGATTTAATTTTTTAATCATAATGGTCAAAATAATTATTTACTTACATAAACATATGAATAATCATATCAAAACTTACCAAACATTAATTTGATATATTATATATGAAAATTTGATAACAAATTCAAAATTTATTATCTCTTAATCAACATATAATTATATATTTAAGTTACTAATGTATTTTATATTTTTAATGTTAGCCATGTATAGAAGTATAAATCGATATGGACAAATTCGAACCATAAGAAATGAACACATAAAATGACTACAAACCATGGATCAACATATCATGCTAATCTTATATTTTAAATAATTTTATCTCCATTTGTACTTCAAAAATAAATTTATTTCACTCAATATGTTTATACCATTCACTTAAAAAGGAGTATGACTGGCATGAGTTAATTTCATCAATTAAAAAGAAAACTCACTAAAAAAAATTGTCTAGCAATAAACTTCAACAATTTAATTTAATCCCTCAATTATATTTTTAGCATAAACTATATATAAAGTCAAATTGAACCACCTATTGGTGTTTAATTGGGTTTTGTTGTGTTCTGTACAAGTGTATTCTTATTATTATTATTTTTTTTTTTTGGGATGACAATTGTATAAATTTAGAGAGTCTTAGGTTGATTTTGAATAAATTCATATAAACAATAGTGTGTGGTTGGGGTAGAAGGAGAGAAATCTTAATCACACGTCACATAATGTTGTCCCCATCATTATTATTATGACATCTTTTTCTTGCACACACGAACAATTTGCACCCATAATTATGCTTATTCAACCCTACATGTTTTATTAATTCAAATTCCTTTAATTATATCTTGGCCATATATAGGCTTTAATATGAGTATTGATGACCTTTAAATTTCCACATATCATATATTTGTACAGGGGCGTAACCAGAAAATTAGTTGAGAGGAGTCGAAAATCATGACATAATTTGTAAAAGATAATAAAAATACATGAAACAATTTACCTTATAATTACAATTGTTGGCTTTGTGAGTAGAGCTGTAAACGAACCGAACTTTCGCGAACAAAAGCTCGTTCGAGCTCGTTCGTTTGTTAATCGAGCTGAGGTCAAACAGAAAATTAGGCTCGTTTAATAATCGAACGAACACAAACTCGTTCGTGAAAGTTCGATTATGTTCGCGAACATTAGTTTAATATAAGTTTATTTTATTTTGTATTTTACATAATATTTTTAATACAAAATCTAAAATTTAATATAATTTTATTTATGTTTTATATATCTACGTAATATTTTTAATAAAAAATCTAAAATATATTAATATTTTTATTTTATTCTTTTATTTTCGAGTTCGAACGAAAAAATTTCGAGTTAATCAAACATATTTAAAAAGTTTATGTATTATATTATTCGAACATGAACGAACTCGAACCTTAACGAACAATTAAACGAACGAATTCGAACACGATTTTTTGCTCGAAAAATAAATGAACCAACACGAATGCTGTTCCAACGTAAACGAACACGAGCTCGAACAGTCCAAGCTCGATTTGGTTCGGTTCGTTTACAGTACTACTTGTGAGTGACGTTTAAAACAAAAAATATGGGAGTGCAAAAAATAATTTAAAAGGAGGGCCAATTAAATTTTTTAATTATAATAATAAAAAAATTAAAACTTAAAGGGAGGAATTGCCCCCCTATTGATTAATGTAAATTCGCCCATGTATTTGTACGTTATATTTAATAATCATTTTAATTTTTTATGATAATACTTTGATTATTCCCTATAACGATTTATTTTTTTATACCACATAATTAGAGAAATAAATTAAATAAAAGTTCAATCTATCAAAATAGTATATCTTGAATTTCATAATTTCTTTTGAGGCGTCTTAATCATCAAACGAGTCGACCCATCATACTATTACCAATAATAATGCATTCTTATATCATAAACTATTAAATTTTTTATTATGTTATTTTAATTTGAAAAATTATATATCTATTGAAAAATGTGATTACACATAGGGTTGACATTGAAATTTCCACATATATATTCCTCCATCAATTAAACCCCTTTCTTGTACAAACACAACGTTACTCTAAAATTGATATTTTTTTTTTATATAAGTTTTGAAAATGAAATAAATATTTTAGCTAGCTAGCCATATTTTAATTTTTGATGCCAATCGTGCATAATGCTTGTCAAAATAGAGTATAATGCAATAAAATAACACCACCAACAAACAAACACAGTCTTGTTTTCTTCATCTCCCTATGTCTCTATACATGTATGTATATGTGTAAGCATCAATTCATATATTATTTTAATCAAAAGTTAGAGATATAATAATGGACTTCACTACTCTCATAACAAAACTTTATTCTAAGGTTTTAATTTTTTTATCCCTTACTTTAAGATTATCGTGCCCCTCTCTCTCTCTCTCTCTCTCTCTCTCTCTCTCTCCTCACCACCACTTTCTCTCTCTAGCCACACTTTCTTCCCCTAAAAAACTTTCCTTTTCTTCCCCACTCATTTCCCCTTCTCCTATTCTCTTCCTGCTCTTTGAATTTCATTTTCTATTGTGTTAAATAAAATTAAACAATAAAATAAGATTAATTTATTTTATACTACAGAAAAAAATCAGTGTTATATTTTTATAATTTTTCTCCTGTTTCTCAACAATTTTTCCTAATTTTTTTTTCGGTTAGTTGTTAATTACAAATATTAATTTTAGTATCATTGTTTTGATGGCTGGTTTGGACCTGAGCTCTGCCAACTTCATCTCCCACCAGCTCCACCTCCAGCGCCACCAGCCGGAGGCGGCGGCCGACGACGAGGACTCCGGCCGGAAACCGCAGCAGCACCAGTTCTCCGGCGATAACGCCGACAACGCGAGCTCTGGCGAGCTGGTCGCCCGCCGCCCCCGGGGCCGGCCGCCGGGATCCAAGAACAAGCCTAAGCCCCCCGTCATCATCACCCGGGAGAGCGCCAACACACTCCGGGCCCACATCCTCGAGGTCGCCGGCGGCTGCGACGTCTTCGAGGCCGTCGCCACCTACGCCCGCCGCCGCCAGCGCGGGATCTGCGTCCTCAGCGGCACCGGCACCGTCAACAACGTCACCCTCCGGCAGCCCTCTCCGGCGGGCGGCGTCGCCGCCCTCCACGGCCGTTTCGAGATCCTCTCCCTGTCGGGTTCTTTCCTCCCGCCGCCGGCACCGCCTGGCGCCACCAGCCTCACCATATACCTCGCCGGCGGGCAGGGGCAGGTCGTCGGAGGCAGCGTAGTCGGGGCCCTAATCGCCGCCGGCCCCGTCATCATCATCGCCTCGTCGTTCACCAACGTGGCCTACGAGCGGCTGCCGCTTGAGGAGGAGGAGATGGCGGCGGCGGCGCCGCATCCGCCGGCGGCGAGCGGCGGAGGGATGAACGGGGGGCAGTATCCCGACCCGTCGTCAATCGGACTGCCCTTCTTGAACCTGCCGATGAACAACGGTATGCCGAACGGCCAGCTCCCGCTGGACGGCGCGTGGGCCGGGAACGCCGGCGGCGGCCGGCCGGCGTATTAGGATATTTATTGAGGTCAGATATATTATATAATAATATATTTGATGCTTAATTGTTTGTTGTTGTTTTTATTTTACTTTTTATCCGTCTCTTATGTCTGTATATTATTAAGTCCGTTAAAAATAGGTCTTTTGATTTCTCTTGATTTTGTGATTTGGGGACAAAAAACCGAAAGAAAAAAAAAAAAAAGATTGATCTCTTTTTGTTATTGCTTTGTGACACTTCAATTTTCTGATGAGTTTGAGAAATAATTGATTTTTGAAATTTTAGGACTTCCAAATATTTTTTTTTATTCTTTTTTGGGACAATTAATTCGTTTAGTGCAACTTGCTGAGTAAGTGGTTATGAGCTGAATTATTATTAACAAATAAAATACATAAATTAAAATATAATATGTCACCAAATCAAATTATTTGTGCTGCTAAGTCTAATCCATTTCCCCCCAATATAGGTCGAACTATACTATTCAGACATGGGATAGTTAATTACTACACCCTATTGAGTTATTAAAAAAAAAATAAATAATAATGTATGATGAGTTACATATTAAATGGTTATATGAGATTTTTGTTATATTAATTATTTGAATTAATGGAAATAAACATGAAAATACCAATCTTCCTAGTTAATTTTGGCTGCTATATATATATCTATACATTGGGAGTGTGTGAAAACTCTGGAACGAAAAGCGATTCTTGACTTGACGTTTTCAACTTAGAAGATTGGAATTACTTTTTTACCAGAGTTCTCAAGCACTCCTATATTTGTACGTTTTTACTTTAGATGTTCGAAATTACGTTTTTTTTAGGGTTCTCAAGCACTCCTATATTCGTGGCTGGCTTAAAGGCAAAGTTGATTAGTAGGATAAATCATGAATTATTCGAATATTAGTAGATTATAGACTAGTTGCAGCCTCCTTCAATTGTTCATTAGTAGTCCTAATTATGTAGCATTAGTTGTCATGAAAGGGAAGTCTTGGTAATGAATATGAGGAGAATGGACTTTGTGCCAATTTTGTTTTATGAAATGAAAGTCAACACATGCATTATTATTATTATTATTATTATTATTATTATTATGCCTTATGTAAGAATTTTTCAATAATATCTACAATGATCTTAGGTCTAAGGCATATAATTCATGTATATATGCATACATATCCATATAATTATATTTCTCTGTGTACATAGTTCTCCTTTAATTATTTGTTACTTCATAATTACATTTTGTTATGTCTTACTGTTTGCTAATTAACTAGACAAAACCTTCATAGTAGCACCATTAGTTCACCAGATCTTATTATTCATCTTACACTTTCATTTTTAATTTGGTTGACTTTTTTCTTTTTTGGGGGGGAATTTACTATTATAAACTTCACAGTGCTCAACAATATTTTCATGGGTTAATATTGACCTGTAATAGCCTAAAAATATATAGATAGTCCCAATTTGCCATAAGCTAGTACTGATCATACTTAGTATGGGAAAGGCCATGTAATTTAATAAAATTACATATTGGAGAGGTATAATGATGCATGCAAATAGTAACATGCACAAATTAAGGGATATTTGGTGTATTAGGTGAATAAAAAGAAAACTGTTTCAAGAGACATTTCATAAAATAATTATACATAGTTTATATAACCAACACAATGAGCACAATTAATTAGTACTTTATTTTCACATTACAATATTCACATCTTCATTAATTATATTACATATATGATATATGGTGTTATAAATGTAAATTTGATGCAATAATGTGGTGGTATATAGTGTCTTTGTTTTTGTTCTATTTGTATACGAACTAGCTAGGGTGAAGATTATGTACATACATTGAATTTACATTTCATCTTTTAAACCTATAGCATTGGTGATGTTAGCCAATTGCCTATTAAAATTTTTATTTCCCTTTTGTGGTGTTATTACAATATGATGGGTCTTCTCCTAAATTTGGAGTAAACCGGTTGAAATGAGCTCCGATTTGTCTGGACCGTCTCTAAATCGCCACGAACACCTGCAAGAACTCAATGCCAGAGGGGTTTTCGGTGTAGAGCTTCCGATGCTTAAGTCAATATCAAGAAGAGAGAAACAGATAGAGCAGCAGCAACATATGAAATGTGTAGAGAGTGTAAAAATTAGAGTTTGGTGCTACCTCAGCCCCTTTTATAGGGGAAATACCTATCCGGAGTGCCATACCCGAGTGCCCTGTCAACCTGACCGGATCTTCAGTGCTTATCCGTTTCCTAATCATCTCTTAGTCATATCTTAGTCAGCTTAAAATTCCATCTTATCCTATAAAGATTCGTTCTTATCCTTTAAGTTTGCTGAGTACTTGAAGTATGGTTCGTTGGTGTGGATCTCGAGTGACAACAAGCGAGATTGACCTAGAGCAACGAGGTAGATGAAACCGTCCTCGAGCTACGAGGTGTGGTTGAAGTCGGCTTCCGCATGTGTAATCTCTAATCACGAGATTTAGCGAAATCAACTTCGAGATACATGAAGTCGAGTGCGAATTAATTACGTCGTTGAGTAGAAACTGCTATCGTTATGCCCATCTTCTCTTCAAGTCTTTATATCATTGGTTGCTCACAAGTCAACTCGAGGGTCTTAAGTCGTCATCAATACACCTTCTTAAGGATCTCGAGTTATTATCATAATGGGTTGGCATGTCTAACCTGAATCGTCATGGACAACTCGACTTACTGTCCTGTCGAGCTGAAACCATCGGTCTATGTCGAGTATGGCTATATCACAATTATACTTATAAAGTACTAAGTCAATGGAAGGAACTATGACAAAGATGATATTTTTAGTGTTCTCATATCTTGTATATCAATATTTATTTAATATATGTGTATATATATTTCATTGTAGAGAACACAAGAACATGATTAATGAGTTCTCAAATCCTACAGCACTAATAACTTTAGAGCACCCATAATGCTTTGGGTCTAGTTTTGCTTACATGGACAAAAATATAGAAAAGTAATGAAATTAACTCCAATGCAAAAAGACTAGGTCTCTACTTGGGTCTAAAATATACTCAAGGGTAGACTGAATCTCATTTTTTTGCTGCCACATCAACATGACCCAATCCAATTGCATTTGAGTCTATTTCTTAGGTGGCATACAATTTTTTTTGGTTAAACCCAAAGTATTGTGGATGCTGTTAGGAAAAGATTGACAAACAAAATGAAATACAAATGGCTCATCACAAGCGGATCAATTAAAGATTAAGCTCATCTGCTCATCATATTTTTTAATAAAAATATATACTAACACTATTAAACATCAATACAGTTACTGCTTTGTGTATGATGTTTCGTTTATAAGAAAAATATGTATAATTATTAAAAAAGTATATCAACGCGCGAACACAATCATATCATCGAACAAATGGCAAATTTCTAAATGGTGCCAAGATTCCACAAACTGGTGAACCAAATTGCATCAAATGCCACCAACTGGGGTTTTCCTAGCAAAACACTCAATTGAGACAAGTTAATAAGTAGGTTCGTTTCCAATTTCTGATCTTCATTAATCAAGTTTCTGAACAAAACATACACTTCATTAATCAAATATATTGTACTATTCTTGCTTAGGTATGGCAAAAGAAGAAAAGAAAAATGAAGTGATCACGGCAGTTTACAAAGCATATATGCATTGCCCACAATGTGCAGACGACATTCAAAAGCCTCTGTTGAAAATTCCAGGTCTTTCTCATTAATTTCTGAAAAAAAAAATATAATATTTATTTTGATGACTTATTTTTCATTTTGCCTTCCATTTTGGGTCCTTTCCTACATTATAGAATGCTTTTACATAGACACCCAAAATGAAATTTGTTGTTAATTAGTAAAAAATTAAATAAATTACATAAATACAAACATAATGATCTTTGGATTATATGCAATGTCTCTAGGAGTGCATAAGGTTGATGCCAAATTTGAAAAGGGTGAGGTTACAGTTAAAGGTGCCATTGATGCCAAAAAGGTTCAAGAAAAGTTACAAAAATGGAGCAAGAAAAAAGTCGAGTTAAAGTCCGAGACTGAGTCCAAGGACGAAGTGAAAAAGGTAGTATTTGTTTNTCACCCTCACCAAAAAATAAAAAAAAAAATAAAAAAAAAAATAAAAAGGTGAATTATACAATTTTGTAGGCATACATAACGTTAAGACCGATATAAAAGCTGAGAGGATTACAATTGAGGGAGTCTTGGAGCCGGAAAAACTCCTGACGTATATGAGAAAACGAGTTCACAAATACGCGGAATTAATAGTACCCGAAAAGAAGAAGGAAGATAAAAAGGAAGAAAATAAAGAGAAGGGTAAAGGCTATGATGAGGAAAATAAGCAGTTTAAGTTTAAGGAGGTTAATAAAGTGGAGGCTAAAAATAAAGAAGGTGAAGTTGCATACTTGATACATTATGTATATGCTCCTCAAATGTTTAGTGATGAAAATCCCGATGCTTGTTCCATTATGTAGATACTTCATACTCTCTTTCTGTTTATTACTACACTTCATATTTTCTTTCTCCTTATTAATTTTCTAATTCCATGAGTCATATTTACAGTGAACGATGAAATACTTCTGTTAGACTGTTTAATCCTTATATTATGTATTATTATATATATTTATATATGATAATCTAGCTGTATGCCAGTATAATGGAAGAACCAAATATATATAACAATTTCAACATTGCAAGCGGCAAATATATTTGTGAACTAGAAATAAAATCAAAAGCAGCTAATATAGAAAAAAAAAATTCTTATATCAAAATCACGTTCAAATCTCTATTTCATACGGTCGGATAATTGTGATTTCGTTATTGATGCTTGTCATTCATTCAATAGAACATAACATAAATTGAAACATGATTTTAAAATAGAAAATCAGGTCGGGACTAATACATCCCTTGGACACAAAAGATTGATTTCATCAACACAAAACCAATAAATAAAGCCCTAGGGCACAAACAAATCAAAATCAAGAACACAAAAATCAAATAATTCAGAAAACAGCAAACCAAATCAAACTATGGAAAAAAAAGGAAAAGCAATGTGATGGCAGAACATAATATTAATTTAATTTCCGCTATGCTTTATTCGAAAACCCCAAAACGCCCCTGCCTACAGCAAATCGTTGTGAGCCGTAGGGCCGCTGGACCTCGCGGCGGCGGTGTCGATGACGCCGGTTCTGCCTCCGTAACCGTCGCCGCCGACGGCGGAGGAAGGGTCCATAGCGCCGGCGCCGCCGCTCATCGGATCCGCGGAGTATCCCGCCGCCCCGGGATTGGGGCAGTTGACGTCCTCGCCGCCGTGGGCGGTGTCGCGGTGGTGCTTCTGCTCGGCCGCCGCCACCTTCTCGGCGGCTTTGTTGACGTGGAGGTCCATGGCGGCCTCCGCCTCCCTCGCCATCCTCACCTCGTGGGCCACCTGCACTCTCGTCTTCGCAAGCTCTTTCTCCTCCTTAAAAAAAACCCCCAAAAAATTTTCAATTAATTAACTGTTTCATTACTTTTCAAATAAGAANAAAAACTTTCTAAATTAGACTTATATAGGGGTGTTATTTAAGTCCAACCGAGCTTCATGTTCGATCTGACTCAGAATCGGCTTGTTCAATAAACGAGTCAAAAAATTGGCTCCTTTATTATTGGGAAACTCGGCTCGTTTAATAAATTTAAAATTATAGACGAACTATTTTCGAACATGCTTAGTTCAACTGAACGAACTCAAGTACTCAACGTGCTTAAGTAAATAAATGAATTGAGCTCCACAAGTAAAATCAAATTGCATTATGTAATAATTCAGTTCGGATAACAATTCTACATACATACAATTGCACTTTCTTTTTTCATAATTAAAATATAAACTCAACTTTTGTAATTCAAATCTTCAGAAATAAATGATTAAGTTTTAATTACCTTTTCCTCTTCTTTGGCCTCAGCCTTGGCGTGTCGCATTGCGCTCATGTCACTCAACTTTTCCTTGATGCCTTGCATTTTAATTTCCTAATTATTAT